TAAATTGTAAGATAATTAAAATCTAAATTGCTTTTGATTTTGGGCATTCATTATTTTAATGGAAATCAAAAGGAAATTTTAAAGCATCTTTTTAAAATATTCTCTATAAAAATATGCTTTATTTTTTTAATCAAAGTCACAAAAAGATTTCAATTAAAATCGAACGAAAATGTGACGGGAGATCGAGTGAAAATGAGAGAGCAAAATTGTGAGAAAGCAATTTTTTAATTAAAAAACGCTTTAGTTTTAAAAGAGATGGCAAAATTAATGGGTAATTTTTTGATTTTAAAATATCATGAGATATTACTCTCAATGTTAGATTTTCAAACTTGGTGAGTTTTTCATGCTTCAATCACAAATTTACATTTCCAAGCCCTACTTTAATTTCGGACCCAATCAATTAAAAAATTTTAATGTAATTAATTTAAAAAAAAATATTTTCATAAATTTCCAGCTGAATTTTTTATTCTTCACTTACATACCAACTGTTTTTAATACATTTACGTTTGAAATTCAAAAAACACAAAAACATAACCTTAATTTCTTAAACAACTCCAACTATAATCTAAAACGTCTAACATATTTGTGAAAATATGGCGCTTATTGCTAATCTAATTAAACTATGAAAGTAAAAAAAAAAACACTTCTATTTTTTATATTGCTAATTAAATTTAATTAAAAAGAAAGATAAACTTTATAAATAGGCACGTGACATAAACATTTTTTCTATATACCTTGTACTTATGTCATTTTCTAAAATGAGAGTTATATTCATTACAATGAGAAATGTCATGAATTTGATTTATGTCAATTATACTTCAGAAAATATTAAACATAATTGAAAAAAAAAAAAATTAATTCAGTTTTATTTTTATAATTAGAATAAGAAAACTAAAAAATTTTCATGTTAATTTAATGAGCAAAAGAAACAAAAATAAAATAAAATAGAATAAAAATGATTCAATTAATTTTTAAATTGGCAATTTGCAAAAATTTTAGATTCTTTTCTAAGTGAATTTCAATATTGAAATATTTTATATATTTTTTTATTTTTATTTTGAACATGTTTTTAATTTGTAGAAGTAATAATTGTTGCATAAAATATAATAAGTTTACAATATTTTTTCTCTTTCTTTCTAAATAAAAATTTTTTTGAGACACCTTACAGGATTTAATGAAATGAAAACTGCAGTTGTTGGAAAACATGTTATGCAGCATTTTACTAAATGTTTCATACAAATTGTTACATATAAGATCAAATAAATTGTTTGTTTTAAATTATGTAATGAATGAGAATTTTATACATATAAATACAAGATTTGATTTGACAGATCATTCTAAATTAATGACGTTAAATTTTGTTAGAATATTTGAATTACTTACATAAATGGAAATAGAAAATGTAATTGAAATGAAAATGTAGAGATGTTGTCAGTGTTTTGGTGTACAGTTTAGTGAATATTCAATGAAAGAACATTTAATAGAAATTAAACTGTAGATGTCACTAATATCAATTAACATTAAATTCTAATGGTGGAAATGTCAAAATTCAAATATTGATTGAATTTCTTTGTGATTAATATGAAATTGCCTATTGAAATTATTAAATTATTTTTTTTTAACAAGTAAAAAGCGCTGAAATTAATATGGACCCGAAATTCGCAAAGGAAAATCTGCAACGCCATCTGCTTTATTTCTGTTCATATTTGTTATAAAATTCAATTGGCAAGTATACAATGCATTTTTAATTTATTTTCAAATAATTTGTTGGAAATTTTGTTTTTTGTTCAAACAAATTGTTGTACATACATGAGTATACATTTTTTTTTGTGCAACGCACACAGTAATAACAAATTTTCTCTTCCTTCTATCTTAAATAATTTATCTTAGGCCCTATATAATATAAAATAGTCGCAGCGACCACCTTGTATAAAAAAAAAATAATATTGTAAAACAAAATTAATAAAAATTACATTAAAAATAAATAAAATAAAAAAAATAGTCTCATTACGAAAATATTTACAACAAAAAAACATGAATTCTCTATACCAATGAATTCAATCTTTATGAGTAGTGCTGTGCTTATACTAAAACAAATAAATAAAAAAAAAAATAAAAGTGTAAGTATATATATAAAACAAAAATCTAATTAATTATGAAATATTAATTTTTCATTTGTTTTTGCACTTTAAGTACATGAATATTTATTAAACAACAAAAAAAAAATAAACAAGAAGAAGGCAAATAAACACCATACTTTATATGTTTTTAAAAGAATTTCTTATACAATTAACTTGGTAGCTGTTTACAAGCTAATAATCACAAGAAATTTTCAGATTTTAAAAAAAAATTTAACAAAAAAAAAAAATTTTTTTTTTTATTTATAAACAATCTGAGTTGTACTGTTAAATTTTAAGATATTACAAGGGGTTTCTAAATTATTTATTTGAAACCGAACCAAATGATATTCTCATCATCTGTTACCATAGTTCGAAAATTGGTCAAAAGTTTAAATAGAGTGCAATGTGCTACCCGAAATGCGTAAAATTAAATAATTCTAAACTTTTCAATAAACTGATCTTCCGTCCTTTTTAACATAATGTAATCATTCACAAAAATCTCCTCCATGTACAAATATTTTATGTTAGTTTTATAATTTTTGACAATCACCCCTAATTTTCTCACTTTAAGTCGGTTAAACCTTAATAAAAGTCTGTTTGTTTTATAAATAACACAAAATTGGAATTGTTTTTGAAATAAAAAAAAACTAGATATAAATCACTTTTAGTCGTAAATTTTCGGTCTTGAAAACAATTTTAAGAGAGGGTTTACTGTAAGATATCAATTATTCGAAATATGACAGTTAGTTCTTGAAATGATTAGAAAAATAATGATTTAAATAGAGTTAATAATAATTTATTTATTAAATAGAGATGCTATTTACGTTTCGCAAAATTAATTAACAGAGAAGATTCCTTTCATCTATTATAACAGCACATTAAAGCAACACAAATCGGATTCTGCCTGATTTCCCTATAAAATCCAATAATCACCAATAATCATAGCAAACATTTATTTTCAAATTATGACGTAATTTTCTACCCATCGTATTTGACAATTGGCAATTTTTTTAAGATTATTTGGATTTTATGTTAATACTCGTATTTTGAGAATGAATAGGTTTTATTCGTTTTTTTCGTTGAATGAGCAGATCATACGGATTCTTGTAACTATAAATTTATAGAACGTGATTTATTTAACATACTTTTAGGAGTTGCGAAATGTCATTAATGAATGAACTTTTGTCATTCCTGTAATTGTCATTAATGAACGTTAATTGATATTTATAATAGACTTATAATAAATTCATTTTTTTGTTTTTATTCTAAAAATACATAATAATTAACCGAAAAAAAATAAATATACAAAAGCAAAAAAAAAATCAGAAAAACATGATGTTCTTCTTACAACAACATTTAATTATTTTTTATATTTTGTACACTTATTATGTTTTTTTTTTGTGATTTTATGTTTATTTTGTATAATTGTTTTGTTGTTCTTAACTATACAACTACAAATGTAAAACAACGGAAAACAAGAAGAAAAATTATTTTACTTAGCCAAAAACAACATGGCGATTGGCGACATGTTTTTTTTTTCTGTTTATTTGTGTTTTAATCCCTTGTAATAGAGAACAGTAAAAAAATATGTACATGAATGTTTGTATGTATGTATATATTTGGATAAATTATAAAAAGAAAGAGTTTAGACAAATCGTCGTGCGCTTGTCACTTTAACTATAACTTGGTTTGCCCATATTAAGAATAAAAATTATTACAATTACAAAAAAAAAAAAAAACAAAAAAAAAGCTTAATATTTTTCACAAAACGCGTCGCTAGTCGCTACGCTACACAAAATTACATGATTTTTTTTTTTGTTGATTTTAGAAAGAAGAGAGAGAACACACACGCCGCAGAGAATGATTATTTCTCGAATTATAAAAATTGTTAGCAAAACATACTGTTATAGTATATCGAGAGTATGTGTTTATATTTTGGTATTATCAGTTGGTGTGAACGACTTTTACAAAAAAAAAAAAAACAAAAATTTAAAAGCTAGGGCACAAATTATGTTTGTAGAATTGTTTGTATGCCGTTATTGTTGCTCTTTAATTTTCTTCGGGAGCGTTTTTTTTTTTTGTTTTTTTTTCTCTCTTTTATAAATTTTATTATAATTTTTATTAGTTTAATAATGTTGATTTTCATTATGCTTTTCTCTGTGTTTGCAAAATTAAATCTCAATAACAACAATAAAAACAAACAGAACGTAAAATGAGAACCCAAACAGCTTGTCCTAAGGCGTGTTTTACATAATGTTAATATTTTGTATAGGATATTTAATTTATTTATTTTTTCTGTTTTTTTAGAAAAAAAACATAAGTTTTTTGTTTATTTGTGCTTCTCTTTCTTTTATTCAATACATTGTTTTTTTTTTTTTATAGATTTTAAATTTAGAATATTATTTTTGTTTGTTCTTGTTTTTGCCTGTTGAAGCTTAAATCACACTTTGTTTATTAACAAAATTTCAACAAGAAAAGAGAAGAATAAATTTATATATGTATGTGTGTGTATAAAGAAGCCAATTTATTAACACTAGAACTACCGACCGGTCAAAATGACCGGTTGTATGACTATTTCACAAGATTTTCTCCTTAAATTTCATTTAATATTTTATGAGAATAGTATGACTTTTTCTAAAATTATGTATTTAATAATATATTAAATTATTTTGATTTTCCATTTCCAATTTGTTGATATACGTATGTACTATACCTATATATACCAACCGGTCAAAATGACCGGTCATTATTTTTAACGTTTTTGATGTGAAAAAATTACAAAAACTTCCAGAAATTACTGGAAGTAGTATATATTTTTATCATAAAAAGGGAAAATATATTTAGAATATTTTTATCCAGTTATAAAACTTTACCCTAAGAATGCCGAGACGTTCGAAAATACCTAGAATCTTAGAGGACATAACCAATATAAGAGAAGACCTTTCGGATACCGAAGATGATATTGATCCTGCAGAAATTTCAGAGGATCAATCAGAAACAAAAGATGTGTGTGTTTCCTCAGACAGCAATAGTGAAGAAGAGAACATGCTAAATGTACGTACGAGAAGAAGAAATTTGAGATTGTCGTCATCTTCGGATGAAAGTTACTGTCAACAAACTGAAATTGCAAATAAAGGAACTATTTGGACTAAAATAAAAGCTGGATCTAATCCAGGAAGAAGATCAATAAATACTTTATTCTAAACTAAATATATTATAAATGGATTCCTCTATCTGGGGAAGGACGAAACAAGACAATCATCAATTCCTTTGAGTGAGTTTGTTGTACTGAAATTAATTTAACAATATGCCGGTGCTGGAAGAAATGTTACCAGTAAATCACTGGCACTAAAATTATTGGAAAAATGTACTACATTGGTTGGAACTATTCGTGGTAATAAAAGAGAATTGCCGGAACTGGCTAAACAAAAAAAGGATAATTTACCTCGATTTTCATCTCAAATTTATAAAACAGGTAACTGTACTTTGACAATATATAAAAGCAAGGCAACCAAAAAAGTACTTCTTCGAAGTACCAAACACACTTCTGTCTCAATTGAAAAAAGTAACAACAACTGCCTGAAACTATCGCATTTTATAATAAAACAAAATGTGGAGTAGACATGACGGTTCAAATGGCCAGAAAGTATATTGTAAAATCAGCATCTCGAAGATGGCCTCTTCAAGTGTTTTTTAACATTCTCGATTTAGCGGTAATAAATGCATGGGTTTTATAAAAGGTAACAACTGGCGAAAATATATCAAGAAAAGATTTTCTGTTTCAATTAGCAGAAGAACTTTCCACAGAGTGTAAAGATTCACCTGAACTGCAAAACTTAATTGACCTCTTGACGACCCCGAAAATCTGTAATATACGAAAAACGTGCCAAATAGGTTTCTGTAATGAAAATAAAACTATTAATATATGTGCTGGTTGTAAAAAACATGTTTGTGGGAAATGCACATTAAAACTAATTATATGTAAAAAATGTGGTGATACCAATAATAAATAACATGAAACAAATAATATTACTCATTTTTCTCTAAATAGTAAATATTTTATGAACCTGCAATGTTAGAATGAAATATATTTTATGTTCTTTCAAACTCTGCTTTCAATTTTCATATTAAATTAACTAAATATCAAACCGGTCATTTTGACCGGTTTGGTAGAAATAGGTATACAACAATTGTTGGTAGTTCTAGTGTTAAAGTCAAATATTATGAATGACATAATGAATAGAGGGTGGATACTCAACGAATAAAAATGACAGTATAACGGATAACGGATAAGAACAACAGACGTAATGGTGAAAGAAAGCTTTTCCTGAATAATAAAAAATCACAATAAAATTGTGAGATTTTTGTTTAGTATGAAACGGTCAACAAAATGTACTCGGTTAATGGTCGAACATGTTCGTATTCATATGGAATTTTATGTAGATAAATAATAAAAGTTTTAAGCGTATATATTGACATTATGATTAATGACAGAAATTAATTTTACACAAAATGAAAATGAAAGAAAAATTAAAGAAATGTTGTACAATTTAGAAAAAAAAAAATAAAAAATAAATTTCCTATTTGGCACAAGAAACAAAAGTTTTTAAAAATATTTTTAAAAATCTGATCATACATAATTATTTTTGGAATATGATATTTATAATGTACATTAGGTTGATCTATTTTTTAATGAATAACAATAACGGGTTGAAAATATAACAAAACTGTAGGATTAATTTCCTGTTAGTTATGTGTCCATTGAGATTTAGTGGATTATTATAGATTTAAAGTAAATTTATAATAGATTAAGTAAAATTGAATGGCGCGAAAGAAAAGTATGTTAAACGGGTTTAATTACGTCATTTTAAAATATTTATAATTGTCATTACATTACGTACTAAAAATTAAATATCTCAATTTTTTTTTTGTATGGACTTGATTAGAATTGAGTTGAAATTCCTATCAGTCGTACATTTAATACCAAAATATGTTTGAATGATTTCAATTAGTACATGATCTTGTTTGATTAATTAAATAATACAACACTCATTTGTTTGATTAGTCACACATTGGTGCGAAAAATTGTTTAATTAATCAGACAATATTAAAAAAAAATCTTAATTGATTAATCATACATTGGTACACGTACATGTTTGATTGACTATACGATACCACACGAACATGTTTGAATAATCACACGCTACTGTTCAACCATGTTCGTTCAAAAATATCAACATTTTGATGTTAATACTTTATACGATACCCAACGAACATGTTTGAATAATCATAGGCTACTACACGAACATGTTTGAATAATCATAGGCTACTACACGAACACGTTTGATTTCAAACATGTTCGTTCAAAAATGTCAACATTTTGATGTTAATACTTTAAATTGATCGATTATCAACCATCGCACTGATCTCATTCCGCTTTCATATTAGTATTCAAATTCGGCAAACAAATGATGCCTCATTTAGAGTACAATTAAACCTTTTTACATTATTTTAAATTAAGTTCATAATTTATGCATTTAACTTTTTGACTTTTTCGGGTTTTTTTTTTTTGTTCTTTTGAAATTTCAATTTAATTTATTAACATAAAAAACCAAATATTTTCCAAATAAAAAAAAATAAAATAAAATTTCCAAAAAATGTTTGAATTCAATGCATTCCTCGGCTTTTATTTCTATTCGGAAAAAATTTCCCTATTTTGTTGTAAATCAATTATTTTGACAGTTTTTTTTGTTACAACATTTTTTAAATAAAGAAAATGAGGAAGATGTAATTACAATACTAAGTAATTATAATATTTATCTTATTTTTCTCAACTCTTACTCAAAAAATATTAAAAAAAGAAGTGTTTACACATGTTTTTTTTAAGTTAAACTGAAATAAAAAACAAAATTAAATTTCCTTTTTTGGATTCACTGATTTGTTGTTCAATTAGTAAAAATATTTTGCCTAGGGAATAAAAAAATACTCGTAGAAGAATCTGTGTTTTAAAAAAGATGAAAATTAATAAATAAAATTTTGTTTAAGTCAATTTTGTAATAATTAATAATTTGGATGAAATTAGGGAAAATTAGATACGAGTATAATTGTTATTGGGAAATGCAACTGCATCATTCTAAATCGTTCGTTAGTGAGAACGGGTATGTTAACATAAACTGTACTACAAAAATACATCAATACAAGATGATTCTTCAATAGTGAATTTACGATAAAGTATGTAGATTTACGATAAAGTATGTTCCATTAAATATGCAGTATTAGACGCAGGTTCTGTCTCCATTTCCAATAGCCTCTAAGAAATTTCGTCAAATCCAATCATATTATATACCCTGTTTTTTAGTAGAACATTTCTCAGAACGACAGTATATAATTAGCCAGAAATGCAGAATTATAATGGGGAGTGCTCTCTTTATATACTACCTCTTAATAATAGCAATATGCCGCGTTAGAGGGTTATTCTATTCTTGTTGCTTCAGAATCTAATAATTATAATATTAATTTAGAATCCGCATTAATTGTCATACACTTATGTTGGATACGAGTTTTAAAATTTCTTCAGTATATTTTCGGGAAAATAAAAAATTTCCCTGAAAAACTTTTTAAGTACAAGGTAGAAATTATTGGGAAAATGACAAACAATAATCCTTTAATCAAAACTTGTAGAAATTGGATTAAATATCAAAGTAGGATAAACGACATTACAACGTCACTCTAAATCAGAAAACTTTATCATTACCTTATACGTTGTATTTTTATATATTACAATTTTTATGTAAAACAAATATTATTATTTTGTGGTTTATTATTTTTGAGATTTAAGATTAAGCAAGGATATTACAGCAATTTTCAATTTCGGATATTTTGGATTTACCCCCTCCAAAACCAAAAAAAAAAAATATATATCATATAGAATTACGGAAATAATAAATTTATCTTGTGTTTTTAATAATGTCATATACAAACAAAAAAAGTCTACTATCCCGTAATCAGAAAATTTCCAATTTATGAGATTTTTAACGTTCATCCTTCATTGTGCTATTAAAATTGTTCCGACATTGAATTATTGCTTGCTTTTTGTTTCTTTTTTATTTTTGATGAAGGTACACATTCATTATACAAGATAAGTACGAGTACTATGAACGAGTACTATGAAATTTGTACAAATCCCTTAAAAAAATAAGTTTTAAAAAAATTTCTCTTCGTTGTTTTCATACTGCACATTCGAACGAAAAAGTTTACCCCAAATTTTCAATTGAAATGTAATTTATTGTTAAGAGAGAAAGAGAGGAATTTTTGGTGGTTTATCGTCCCCATTTTTCATAAAAAATTTAATAAAAAAAAAATGCTGTTAATTATTACACTTTTATTTGAAATTAAACAAGGAAGGAACGGAAAATTAAATAATTTATAATATGGAAAAAATGAGAAAAATTTTTGGCTGTTTCAAAATAATATTCAAAAAGGACTTGGTTTCTGTAAATCACATTAGTCGGAATACCTTTGGAATTTCTATTGAAAATTAAAAACTGAAAATATTGGGTTTTTGAAATTTTCTAATACATTGTATGTATGTATGTACAAAAAGTTGCTGACAGTTTACAATTTAATTGTAATTTGTGTGGATAACGGGATATTTTTAATGTGAGCATATTTAAAATTTAATTATATTTTTTAATTAAGCAGAGCTATCAAATCACTTTTAATGAATTCTATAATTTTCTCTTATTTTAATAATGGAAAGCGATCGGTTCGCGATTAGAAATATCGCGATACTTTCTCTGATATCAGGCATTAGATCAAATTCAAAGCTGGTAGGACACGACTTTAACATTATGACGAATTCACTTGAATGTGTTCTCATTGCAGTGTTGGGGTCATATCTGGATTTCAAGTCATGGCAACATATAAGGGAATGAATAGTCGAGTAAGCTATGGTTAAAGTGTTTATACTATAGGATTAGTTATGGACACCTTTCAGTCACAGTTCCCATTAGTATCACAAAAATTGGATATATTCTAACATCAGTTATGACTTGTATCTAGAAAATTATGTTAGCAGTTCCTGGAACAGCAAGAAATTGTGGTCTCTAAAAATTCAAAATTTTAAAATATTTCAATTCCATGGCGATGACCGTCAAAACTATATTTAAAGATAGGACTAAATTTTAATATTATAAAGGAATAGA